GGCAGCCGGCAGCCGGCGGGGTTAGCCCGGGGCGGGAGGAAGCGGCTCGGAGTCCTCCGACTCACGCGCGCACACCGCGTTCCAGCCCGCGAAAGTGGTCCGGCCTGAACGCACCGTGAGGGGACTCACCCGCTGGGGCCGAGCCCCCGGTGTCCGGGGCGGGGACCCTGGAGAGGCGGGTGCTGGAGGAACCTCCAGAGGTGTGCGCGCGTTGGGGGAGAGGGTGGAGGGCGCTGCCTACTCAGGGCTCCCGGCCCGAGCCGCTGCTTACCCAGATTCAGCGACGTCGGTCTATCCTTCTGTCCCTGGTCTGTCCGCCTGGGCCGCGGACTGCCTAAGGCGGCGCGCTGCCCTTCTCCCTGCCTGCAGCTCAGAATCACAGGCACGACAAAATCCACATGGAGTCCAAATTCATTAAAATCCACGCCAAGCCACCAGCCACTTATCTGTATTCCTGAAGTGGCCCCGCGGTCTTCGGTCCGCGCGCCCCTCAGTCCTCCGTCGCCCCGCAGCAGCACCGCCGGGCGCTGTCGCGGGCTCGCGGGGGGCACTCGGAGGAGCCGAGGGGGCGTATGGGGGTGGCTGGCGGTGCCTTTCCTTGGGAAGAAGCTGAACACCGGCTGTCTTCAGATTTTTCCACCGCGACTTTCCGGGCTCCTCTGACATCAGCAATCCCGGCGCTTCCTTCCCTTCTTGCTCCCCGGCTCACAGTCCCATTTCCTCCGGGAACCTTGGCTATGGAGATCTATTTAGGGGTTGTCTCCGCTCGCGCTCCCGACAGCTCTCCAGCTCGTGGGGTCTCTCTCGGAATTGCTCGCCCTTTCGGCTGCAAAATTCCCAGGAACTGTGCTCGCCCGCCCTCCCGCTCCAGTCTGGTGCGGACGCTACTCCGCCGGCAGCTCCAGCTCCCGCGGCGGCGGTAGCGGCGGCAGCGGCGGTGGAGTCCTCGGCTCCGGCCTCCCTATATTACCATGCAGCTCATTATCATAGAGGCCACGCGCGTTAACCCCCTCCCTGCCGGCCGCGCCGGCTGGGCGCTGGGGCCGCGCCCGCCACTGGCACGGTCCGCCACAGCCGGGCCTTAGCCCCTTTCCCCCGCCCGCTAGGACTGCCTCCTTCTCGAGCTGTCAACAAAGGAGACGCAGGTTGGAAATGGGGAGGCTGCCCCACTACCTACCTAGCGCCCGGCTCAGCCCAGACCCACCGGGCACCTTAAGTGGTCAAGGGGGTAAAGAAAATCCTGCCAGGGGTTGGGGATTATTAGGTCGAGGCCTTGAGAGCCCCGCTGGTTTAACCTCCGGTGGGGGAGCTAAGGACACTGACAGAGTGGGCGAGGGCAGTGAGGATGGGGTGCCCCCTTCCTTAGGACCACCTGTCACGGTGCACATCCTCCACACCTCCCCTTCATCTGTAATTTGGGTAAAGGGTGAGTGGGAAGGCACAGGCCTTGCTTAATAGGGTTGAGGCACAGGTCTTGAAATTTATAAGAGCAAATGCCCTCTTCGCATGAATTTCAAAAAGCCAACAATCTGTCAAATGAGGTTTGTAGTTGTTATTATTATTTTTATAATGCGAAGATGACCTTTGCTCTAGATCTCAGGCTTCCAGCTCTGTTAGGGATCCTGGGCACCTAGCAAGTCCTGACTTGGATGAGGGAGGTGAGGAAGGGAGGAGAGCTTTCAAAGTGCAGACCCAGGGAGCCTGACAGGGCAATCAGAGAGGTGGCTATAAGATAACTTATTTTAATAACCTGCGGAGTAAGGTTTCTGGATTCCTGATGGTCATGCTTCGCTGCCCTCACGACCAGACTCCGTGCCGTTTAGAGTCACAGTATTTCTGCAGCCTCTGAACACTGCTTTTCTCCCAAAGGGACCTGCCAGCTAGACCCCAGAGAGTTCCCAGGTTCTGCGTAGTTCCTGCTAGCGATTAGAGCACACGCGAGTTTACTCAACGTGTCCAAGTGTTCTGATAAACTCCCTCTACTGCCCTCTCGTGGCCACAGTCCTCAGTGCTTTAAATGAGGGGGCAGGAATCACCCCTGAAACTCTGAAGGGAGTCATAATGTTGTTAGAGTAGTGGATTCCGACTTTTGGCGAGCCCACGTGTACAAACTACAACTATACGTCATAGGAATTTCTAGACTGTGACCTTTTGGAAGCTGATTACCAGGCCTTACTTCCGAGGCACCTCTGGGTGCATTTGAACTGCGCACCTTAACTAGCAGTTCAGTACTTAACCCTTTGCACCACCTTGGGCTTCTTTTCAGAGCAGTAGGGGCCTTAAAAATAAATAAATTTATAACACAGGGGTCATCTTGCATAGTCCTGCATTCAATCTTCCATTCAGGATTGGCTCCACCATCTGCAGAAATTAGCTAATTTTTGAAACGTTCTTCATTGCATTTAGCTGAGATTTGTCTCCATGCTGCTACCACTCGTTGCTCCTGGTTTTGTCCTGTGGAGCCACAAGAGTTAGTCTAAACTCTTTCTTGATCCATACCTGTTTTCTGTGAATTTCTTTAGCATATATTGTTGGCACCATTTCAAGCAATTATCATATGTTGCCCCATACGATAATTTATTTTTCCGTATAAGTAGATCTTGTCTCCCCATCCAGACAGTCTAGTCTATTCTCTTATCTCTGGCTAGACTGAATCAAAACCACATTTTTAAAAAGGAGATTTGAAGAAGACGCTAGGAGATTTTGGAACAAAAATTCTCCCACTTGCTCAATGTATGGAACAGCAATCTGGCTAGCTATACCTAAGATAGCAAGTTGTAAAGTTGGAGATATCTAATTGATAAAACTCACAGCTGAAAATTAAGGCCCTCTGGTTTTAAAGCAAGCTATATGACCCTGGAAGAGCTGTCATCTCCTCTCCATGCCAAAGTATAATAAAATCCTGGGAAGATCATGATACAATTTAAACGATTCCCCCCGTCACCCAGGTCCCCTTCCTAGCATTCTAGAAATGGATCCTATAATGAAGAGCAAAGCAGCATAAAATGAAACAGACTCCTCTAACTCTACCCTCCACCCCCTATCCTCCCAAAAAGGGAGAGGAGAGGATATACACAGGAGAACACATTGTAGGTGGGGTGACATGCTGTCGTCCAGTTTCCACGTTGCCACTGAATATAGTCTGAGATCTGAGCCCTATGAGCTTAGGGGAGGAACTTTGAATGAAGCACCTTTAACCTCTTTGCACCTCAGTTGATCTATCTGTAAGAGGGTAATTTCTACCTTCCAACATCAGAGAGTGGAGGGAATTAAAATAGACATAGGTGAAAGTGTTTGGGGAACAGTATCATTAAAATGGAAAGATATGTTGTTATTTTTAGCCCTAATATTAGCCCTAATAATAGATTAGACAAATAAGTATCTTACTAGTTAAGCACATAATTATAACAATATACCTTGGAAATTAAAAAAAAAAATCTCAGGTTCATAGTTTGTATTCAGACATCTTCTGAGGCAATGGCAAGATATGTGAGCATCTTGACCTTAAAGGTGATCAAATAACCCCACTCCTTGGAATATAAGGTATTTATTCATTCATCCCACAAATACTTATTAAGAGCAAATTTACTAACTTTCTTCCTTTAATAGAACTGTATGCAGTGCATAATTATCCCTTAAGCACAAATTTTAAAAGAAATCCTGCCATTAACCCAACCCGCTCCACACCAGACTTGTCTACGTCTTTCTAGGGACCCAATCGAGTTTGCAGGTATATATCTGGCCTTCACGGTCTTCTTGCTCATTCAGTTCCACTGATGTCAAATCCAAAGCCCCTAGGGACTCAAGTCACCAAGCCTCTGCCAGTGCCTTTTGGTGAATCCTCATTTCCATCAGGGAGGCCAGCTATAGCCCAGCACAGTTCTGAACAAGTAGCAGAAAAAAAAACAAAAACAACAACAACCCAGGTTGCCCTATAGTGGATTCTGATTCATGGCACTCTTATGTGTGTCAAGCAGAACTGTGCTCCATAGGGTTTTCAACGGTTGAGTCTTCTGGAGTAGATCAAGGCAACTTTGAGGGGACTCAAACCACCAACCTTTTAGTTAGCATCCTTAAGCCTTTGTATCACCTAGGGACTCTGGGCAAGTAATGGGCACTTAATAAATATTTATTGAATAAATGAGTGTTTGAAGGAAGGAAGTGCTTGTCTTATGCCAAATCATTATCTTAGGAAAATAATATCAAGCTGAACAGGGCCCTTCTCTTCTCCAGCTCACCTACTTCTAGTCCACTGCAGCTCTACTCTTGGAAAATCATTTGTGGCTTCTACATTGGGATCCTGGTCCCCAAACCTCTTCGTAATATGTCACCAGTTGGGTGGCTTAGGAAAGAGGGTAAGAGAAGTGGAGGTGAACTGTGCAACAGCATTCTAGAATGGACTTAAATTTTTCTTAGGAAAAGAGTATTTCTCCTGTGGAAAGCAGTCTGGCTTCCGTCTCCCATCCGCATCTGCCAGGGCAGGAACAGGCCTCCTCAGGCCCTTGAAAGTGAACCACTATGCTTTGGGAGGATAGGCCCAAATGGGCAACTAGCCAACCCCCAGGGGAAGTCCTCTCCCTATCACAGCAGCAGCTTCAGCTCCACAAATAGATGGAGGACGGTAGCCCCTCGGATCCCAGGAGGTATTTTTGGTGCTGGAAGCCAGCCGTACTTTGGCAGGCTTTCAGCATCCAGTCTGCTCCCTTTCAGAGGTGGGGGGTGGGAAGACATCAGCGGTTAGCAAGGGAATGCTGTCTGTGAGTGTGCACGCGCATATATTTAGGGTGCCTTGAGTGGGGTCGGGCCTGGGCTTGGGAGGCTGTGTGCCTAGACCTGTGGTGGGGAGGTGGGTGGGCTTGCTCTTGCCAGTGTAACCGAGGCAGCTTTGAGTGGTGTATCGGTTGTCGCTAGCTTTGCATTTTATTTGGCTTCCAAAGCTGAGACCACTGATGCCATGAGCAGCTCAGTCTCTCACTGATCTAAAATGCTTGCCATTTCTCATGCAGCCTGCCACATTGTGAGGCCTGTTCCCTTGTGGGTGGGCCCTTCTGTGTCTCCACATCTCACTTCACCTTCACCCAGCAGTCGCTACAAGGCAGCCACAGTGGTAGAGCAGCAGCCTCCTCTACCCCCCACAATGTTGGGCACAAAGAGAACGGTGTGACTGGCCAGACTGGCATGTGTGGGCCAAGTCTCATGAATGGAAGAGAGAGGCTGCTGGGATGCCAGGGGAATGGGCCTCAGCCTGGGCAACAGGGTCGGGACCTGAGACACAAGGACTGGGGCACCTGCTCTGGGATTTTCAGCACACCATTCATAAAGACGTCACTCTTCTCTCTCCTTCCCTCTCATTCTTGCACAAATCCCACTTT